TGTCATTGATGAAGATATTAAACAGTACTGGTCCCAATACGGACCCCTGTGGGACACCACCCATCACCAATCTCCATCTGGACATTGAGCCGTTGACCACTACCCTCTGGATGCGACCATCTAACCAATTCCTCACCCAGCAGACAGTCCACCCATCAAATCTATACCTCCCCAGTTTAGGGAGAAGGATGTTGGGGGGGACCGTGTCCAAGGCCTTACAGAGGTCCAGATAGATGACATCTGTAGCTATAATCTCTAAATCTTCATCTAGGATAACCATTCTCCTATCCCAGCGTGCCTGCTATTTAGACTAAAAGTTCCTCAGGGCTAGGAGTGTCTTCACCACCTAAAGTGGAGAAATGTCCGTCCAAGCTAGGACATAGTTCTGCAGGGCAAATAGCAACAACTCACTGGGCACTGTGTCAGTTCATGAATGCATCTCTTAGTGGTGCATGGCACAGCTGGACTGAGGGGCCACGAAACACAACCAAGTACAGGAGAGAGCTGAAGTGGAGTGCAGATCTAAGAGTGTGAGTAAAAAAGAAGCAGCCAATGGCCTAAAAAATGCACTGTCCAAGATTAACCACCTGGCATAGAGGTATTTGTGATTAAATCCCATATCACTTAACTACTAAAAACACAGGCTCCTTTAATTTCTCTTTTTCTGCACTCTATGTACTGTCACACCTATTTATCCCAGCAGCTGGGTTTTCTTTTTAAGGCATAAACTGCTCACTAACTAATTCTAGGAAATGGAGCAGAGATGCTTCATTCCTTTTAATATCTTTTTTTTTTTGGTTTCCTTTTTCAAATGCAGTCTTGGTCTATTCCCGCATGACACACAAGGGGGCCATTGACTCAGTATCTCCTTTCATTCTGCCTTTCATATGACCACACTGAACATCATGAATCATTGTACATGATACATAACACATCTCGAATTAAGCAATAGGTAGTGAATGACTAATCACCCCATCTCAATTAAACTAATAGCAGCAATTTTTGTTGCGCTGCGTGTAATTTATTTATAATCACCCTATCTCAATTAAACTAATAGCAGCAATTTCTGTTGCACTGCATGGAACTCAGTGTGTTTTGACAAATAAGTTGTTTGCTTGGAAAGGGAATAGAAGCAGAAAGCATTCTTGTATCTGGAAGAGGTGAAAAACCGCTGAATACAATTTTTTTTATCAGCTAAGCCAATGAACAAAGCTTGGAAAGAATAGAAGCAGAAAGCATTCTTGTATCTGGAAGAGGTGAAAAACCGCTGAATACAATTTTTTTTATCAGCTAAGCCAATGAACAAAACTTTCTGACTCTACCGTTTAAACGACAAACTTTTTGAAACAGTGACTTTTCTTTTGTTCTGTCTCACCATACAAGAATCATGTCAGATTTAACAACCACATAACAAGGTACTAAGCTCAATTGCGTGTATCTGATCAAGGATGAAAAAAACCAGTCTTCTTATCTCTGGGCTATGACATGCTGCTTCTGAAGTTTTTGTTGCTAGTGATTCACAAAATGAGTCTGAAGTCACCATATGAGAGCCACCTGGGAAAACCAGAGGTGTCCCTGTGGTGGCTCTGTGCTCTGATGACCTCTATGACTTTTAAGGTCTCCTGGTATTTGCTCAAATTAAAGCGACCTTTGGTCTGATTTATTTCATACTAGGGATTGGGCTGATTCTAACACTAGAAATGTCGTACCTTTCTTGTCCTAAACCATGTGAGACTTAGTCTACTAGATTTGTCTTAAGGCAGAGCAAATGTAAATGAGAGAAACACCTGTCCCAATAACTAGAAACATGTTAAAAAAATAAAGCTCTTTTTCTTACAGGATGGTCGGCATCCAATTCTGCTCCATAGCTTAGGATCTGATTGGCAAACCTGTCCAGCTCCTGGATACTTCTTGGGAACCATGGCACTGCAAAACAGAAAAGAAATAGAGACTGCTATGATCCTTTGTTACTTGGTTTGGGGCCTTCTTTTGGTCTTTCCATCTTTTCATCATAAATATAAAGAAACATACGCAAGGGGCTAAATTCTTTGGGCAGCAATGGTCTTTCCCTGTAGTAGGAGGCAAGAGCAAACCCTGCAAGTTGTCTTGAATTTGTGGCTGTTTTACACTGTTGGAAGAATACAGAGCATCAGGAATGTCTAGCCCTTGGCGCAGAGCTGGCTTGTAATGTTTATGATTTTCTGTTTATTATTCTGTTTCTTGGCTTACCAAAATGTAGGAATTTTTCCAGAGTATCCTTACTATCACAGGAGCTAGAACCAGCCATTTCAAAGGAACAGCAAGAAACCCCACAGCAAGAAGGATACCCTCTGAAGGATTTGACCCTCTGAAAATCTCTTTATAAGACCTACCTGGTGGCCTCACTTAAGCTAGGATGCTGAAATAAAATGATAAATGGCACCCTAATACCTCAGACTAGCATTGCATTACTGCAGTCATTATACAATAATGCATTCATCTAATTAACATTCTGGGCCTTGTTCTCTATTGCCTTGTAACTCACATACTATACACACTGCCTGTGGCGCAGCCAGGGTATGAAATGGGACCACACTGGCTACACAGCATGTAATGCCCATGTGGCCCTCCCTTTACAGAAGGACATAAGGTGGAGGGCAAGGAAGAATCACAGGGCTTTCCAGGTGCAATGTGTTCAGACAGGGGAAAGCAGAAGGCAAGGGTCTTCATGGCAATTGCACTACGAGGAGAGGCTCCCTGCAGCTCATGAGGTACATGGAGCAGTCACCCCAGGTCAGACCTACTTCCTGGTGCCACGAGTGTATTCACCCAGTGATCCAGGCAGTCCCCTGCCACGTGTCCCCTCGCCAGCAAGAGGTCTGGCACACACGTGCAAAGGCTGTACCAGGCTGCAGCCCCCTCTTCCATCACCTCCAGAAGGATCTGGCTGCATACCAAGCAAGGGACCTCCTTGTCAGCCACCACTGGGCCTGGCCATCCCAGCCCTCTGAAACATTGAGACAGGGAAGCTCAATGGAGGGATTGCAGGGATTGTGGGCCCATTCCTCTCCCTTGTCCTGTCATCATTTCGGGAAGCACATCTGTAGGTACCACCACTAGGTACCACTGGCAGCTGGGCACATCCTGGGAGCTGCCAGTGCTGCTGGGTTCGGCTTGTTTGGCTTTCTCTTCTGTTGCCCCATTCTTACATTTTTGGCCCTTTGACCCTAGCTGCCTGCCTCTTTTCTTTTTCCCTTCCCTTCTGCCTGAGTCAGAGGCTACAGCCATGCCTGAATTTAAAAGCCTGTGATGAACTTCTCACAAATACAACTAATTGCTCTTTGAACCCATGTACACATCTGTCTCCAGGAAATTCTTCAGCACTGAGCTCTATCATTTCTTTACATGTGATATGAAAAATTACTCACTTTTGTTTTAAACTTGATTATTTCATTTGATGTTAATTAGTTCCTGCATACAAACATCATTTGTCATTATTCACCTTCTCCAGACCACCTAGGATTTTATAGCTCCCTGTCAGATCCTCCATCTACCATCTGTCATCCTGGCTGAGACTTTGCCTGTGTATTTCAGGCACAGAAACCATGGGCTATCTTCGAGCACTCACATCACTTCTCTCTGCACCACTTCCAGTTCTACCATGTTTTTTCTGAGGAAAGTGCACAAGACCTCCATCTAAGGATGTACCCCATGCTCAGGCCCTGCAATCATGTCCTATATGCTCCCCACACTGAGTACAAGTCAGCTCCATGGACTCCAAGGCTAGTATCACCCAAAAGTCTGCTGGTCCAAGCCCAGGGCCTCTGACCAGTCTCTCTATCAATAAAATGTTGCAGTTCATTTAGTGACTTTCTTGCACGAATGGGTGTCCCTTGCTCAGTCAGTGCTTGTAAAACAGCTCATTCCCCTGTGTGGCTCTCTGCTCAGCTGGGAGCACTGCCACTCAGCCATACCTCCCCATTTGATTTTGGGTTTTATGCCAAGTGAACCTGATCCCCAGCCGGCAGCTGCTGCATGAGCTCCCTGCAGTGCCTCGCTGATGGGGTTCATCCCAGACCTGGATGGACCACCGAGGGGATAAGGGGATCACTCTGTTTCCAGGACTATTCAGCCTTGCTTTCTGCTGAGCCTAACAACATGGAGGGCACTTGTGGGACTGGGTTTCTGCGAGGCACCTGCGCAGAGGGGCCAGTGCAACAACAGCAGATTTACAGGGCACACTTTGGGTGACCGCGGCTCAGCCCCATGCAGAGTGCTCGCTCCCCCTGACCTGCTGTCCCACGACCAGCCTGGCTCCATCCAACGCTCCCGCTGGGAGCCCTCAGATTTGTTTCAGGCAGGCCAGGGAAAGCAGGCAGCTGGTGGCTGCCAGCCGGAGGACGTCCCAGGCTGCCCGGGCTCCCCGGGCTGCAGAGACCCGGCCCAGCGGCTCCACGGTGCTCCCGGCTGTGCCTCCCCTTCTCCTGCCCAGCAGAAGTGGGTTTTGGTCCCCTGCTTTCCGAGCTGCACACCCTTCTGCTTTGCCCTAAAAAACAGACCTGAACAAGTCACTAGATGGCAGCAGCAGTCCCAGGAAGATCTTCCCAAAATGACTTTATTTGCTGGGTGTACTGCTAGCTCTCTAGTTTCTCCAGAAACACTCTCTCACCTTGCTGTTAGCAACCTTCCTGCGCCTCCAGCCCCTTGAGTTAAACCGGTCAGAGAAGGTGAGTAGAAAAAGGTGTGTTTGAGTCCTAGAGAGGAGTCACTACTCACACCGTGTGAAGGGTGAGCACACCCAGCCATCCCTCCCCTATTCTCTATGTGGGCAGCCGGGCACCAGGTTTATCTCCTAGCTCTGCCACTGAGCTTTGTGTGATGGTGGGGGAATCGCTCCACTATTTTGTGTTTCAGACTCCCCACTATCAGGCTGAGGTGAGGCACACTAATAAACGTTTTGGGATTAGGCACTGGAAAAAAAGCTGTCCGGCAGCCCCACAGCAAAGAATTTGTCAGTGTTAGAGTGAATAACCGCTATTCTCAGGGACTCACCATGACCTGAAAGGTCCGGGCTGTGCAGACAGACTGGTGGGGGCTGAAGTCTGCAGTGGATTTCAGCAGCGATGTCTGTAAGGTTTTGCTGCCCTGAATCAGAAAGGTCTAGGCGGGCAGGGTTTGAATCATTGCAACTCCAAGAAGGGATAAAATGGATACCAAATAGTGACTTACTTTCATTAAACACATTTTATTCTCAAGATCCCCTACTTTTTGCAGAGCTCATGATAAACTCTGGGACAGACTGACCCCCGGGCTGATGCAGTGTCAGTCCCAGGCATGGAGATGTGTGGCTTGTTTTTCCCCTACACAGGAGCAGCACCTTATCTTATAGGCATGCAGCCCCTATAGGTACCTGACCTATTTTCAGCAGGTCTCTGCCCTCCACCCAGGTCCCCCCAGACACCAGCGGTAGCTAAGAGAGAGCAGCTCTGAGCTCGCAGGGCTGGATGAAAGGGGCAGGTTGTGAAAGGGAAATCCTGAGGATGCTTAGTGCTATTTGCACCAGCATAGCTGATGTTAAGTCAGGTCCTGGGAAGTCCTGAGCCTTCTCAGCTCTCGTGGAAACAAGAGTCAAAGGTGCTGAGCACAGCCCCAGGGCAGGCACTGCACCAATTACAGCCCTTGCATCAGGGACCAGGGTGCAAAAGGGCTACTGGCTCTTCTGCCTAGCTGTGGTGTGCCAGGAGGCTGTCCCAAGCCCTCCCAGCAACTATTTAAAAGATAAAATCAAATTACCCCCTGGCTGAATCTATCCCATATTTTGTTTGTGACATCCTCCTCCAGCCCCGTTCGCCAGACTCGCTGTCTGTCTGCACGGCTATTAACAAATTGCCAGGGCAAGCTGTTGCAACACTGGGCCTCTGTGAAGGTTTGAGGAGCAAACGTGGGCTGATCAGTAATAAATATTGATTTGTCTGTAAGTGAAACAACAGCATTTATGGGATCATGCTGGACACCCAAGTGGTGACCAAATTACCATGGGGTCAAATGCTTAGCAGAATGCTAATAAGCCATTTATATGAGGGGCAGCAAACCAGGGGCAGTGAGGACTTCTGCAGAACTCCTCCATTTGGACCATTATGAGGAGGGTCAAAGACAGGTCTATGCAATTTATAGCAGTTCGAGGCCCAGGTTTAGCCCTTTTTTAAACGGTCCCAAATGCTTTGGCCAGCCTCAGGGTTTAGCAAACAAGGCCCCTACAGAACTTCAGCCTCCAGCCTGTCTCAGAAATGCAATAAATTGTCTGCATTTCCCTAATGCTGCAACAGAATAATATTTAATTCTTTTTATTCATGGGCTCCGAGTGGTCTGCAGATACCCAGCTTGTTTCCAAAAAGAGCCATGAAGAGATGCACTGTGTTTTCACAACAAATCTTTCCATCTCTACAAAGGGCTTTTGGCCCAGTGACTGCTAGCCCATCTCATCTGAAACTCTAAAACTACCTTTGGATTTAGAGCATTTTGCTGGCCTGCTCTCAGCTAAAATTACACTGCTGGTCCAAACCTGGTATTTGTAACTATTTTGGTGTGTGCATGGGAAACCAAAATTACATTTTGCGTTTAAGAGAGGAAAGACCCTAAAAACAGTTAGAGTGCTCAGACAAAAAAAAAGCGCTGTTCATTTATACCTTGCCCAATAAAGCATATACACACGTGTTTAATGTTGAACTATACAGAAGGGGCAATGCAAGAAATTTTTTCTGACTGTCCACAGAGCACTGTCCCAAGAACGGCACTGTGTGCTTCCTACAGGAAACTGAGTAAAATAGGGATTTTTTGCTCAAATCATGAACATAAACAAAGCGAAGCCTTAGCAAAGAAGGGCTGAGAGCATCTTCAGGCAGCGATGAAAGAATCAGTCCCATGGAAGCTTGGACTGCCTTCAGGAGAAAACCTTCCCAGCCTTTACCTGCCAACTGAGAAGAGCGTGACAATGTCTCCATAACCATATTCTTGAGATTTTGCTCCCTGGAGGCATATTGCTGTTTTTCTGTGTTTTAGGAATAAAATATCACAAAATCACATCTGTGGATTACGACCAGATTTGCCATGGCTCTGCCCTTGTAGCTGCCTCAGCCCAGAATTTGCCACCCACAGTTCGTACCCTAAGCAGGGATTGTTTGACCTTTCAAAATATGGCTCTTTGGGGATTTCAGTTTGACTGGACCCTTATTACTCATGAGAGAAGTTGAAATTGAAAACAAAAAAAAGAAGAAAAAGGGAAAGGGCAAAAAGAAATATCAATCTTCCTCTCTTTCCTTGGCAATAAATTGCTCCCACTTTATACTATTTCTGAATTACTGAAACTAACAAACAAACACAAGTTATCCTCTCAGACAGAAGGGGATCAAGTCCCTTTCTGCAGCACTGACAGGATAATCTAGCTCAAAAAATCCTTTGATCAACACAGTAACATGCAGTGAAATCCTAATCCTACAGCTGACCACAGGAGTTTTGACATCTATGAGGTCAGAATTTCACTCACAAGCCTTTCCTGGCTGATATTTAGAGCCGTATCTCTATCCGACTCTGGCCTATGCTTATACACAACTTTATTCTTTAATAAAGTTTATTCTTTAATAAAGTTTATTACTAACTTCTTAATAATAGTTAGAAAAACAAAAGTAATGGCAAGCCCTGCTAGGCCCTGTAGCTTTCTTCTGCAACTAAAAAAGCCCCCAAAAGAGAACATCTTTGATTTGACATGATCATAAATCACCTAGTCAGCCTTTTGTCCCTCCATCTCATGAATGGAGAGAACTGACTCCAAAGAGTATCTGCCGCCTTCTTTTTCATCTTCAAATGTAATGTCATGGGTAGGACACAAAGGAAACGGTAAAAGGATTACTAGCACTGATCTCAAGAAGGTATTAATGTCCTTTCATGTTGTTCCTAGGAAGGAAGAGGCAGATCCAGACCTAAAGCATTTAAAGTCTGAAATCCTATTAAAATCACATCTGTTATCTGAAGAGGCATTTACGTATGTCTCAGACTGGATGCTGGGCAGCCATCACTGTACCGAGCAGCCTCAACTCCAGCAAAAATCTCTGAGAATTAGGAGCACGGACAACTCACAAAATCTTCCCTTATTTCCCTCTGAAGGCAGAATTACGACTAACCTGCCTGGGATTTCTTCCAGGAGCAGAGAGTTATTCCTGCTCCCACCAAACTGGGTGGCAGAGCCTCCCCATTTTCAATAGCAGGAGTGAGGGGCATCCACAAGCCCAAAAAGTGGAGAGGCGGATGGATGGTGTTAGACTCACGTACCTGTGTGAGGGACAGCAGGGAGCAGAGGTAATGGTCACCCCGGGGGACTTTTCCTGCCCTCCTTTCACCTCAGCCCAGAGGTGCAAGAGTCCCGCAAGGATGGTGCTGAAGCAGCCAGCAGCCAGGGTCCACGAGACCAAATTCAGAAAGCAAATCCAAGTGTTCAAAAGGGCATACCAGCCTAGGAGCACAGGAGGGCAATTCCTCCTCCTGCCCCATGATGATGCCACTGCATCATGCCAGGCTCTTGGCACGTCCGCCACACCACAAGGTTTGTGCCAAGGTTGATCTGTCAGGTCCCAGAGATATTTGGCAAGGGGGAAGGCACTGCAACAGTACTTCACTGTCACTTTTTGTTTTGTTATGCTGCCCTTTACCAGCAGTTCCTACCTGAATAAGGAGAATCTGGAAGGCAGCTGGACTTTGTGTGAAGGAACCATTGAATAAACAGTTTATAAAGAGTCAGCAAATGAGAAACAACTGGTTTAATAAATAGTTAAGTAATTGCTCACCAGAGCAATAGAATCCTTATAGCCCATAGTTACACCTAGGTTTTATCTAATCTACTGGAGACACTCCAGAAAAGAGCAACAAGACTGGCCACAAGCCCAGAAACCAGGTGCCCTGAGAAGAGAAGGCTGAGGTTGGGCAGGATACATCACCAGACACCAAAAAGGCTGGTCTAAAGAGGAAGAGTATCTTCTGTTCCCAGTGTCAAAGGCAGGCAGGAGGAGAAGTCATCAGCTCTTGGTGCAGCAAGTGAGGCTGGGTCAGAGCAGGGCAGCCCCGCAGCGCAGAGCCATGGAGCCCAGGAAATCTCCACCGCTCAGGACAGACGGTGGTTTAGCTAGTCCTGCCTTTTGCCAGGGGACAGACCACATAACCCCTTACAGGACTTTTGCTCCCGTCTTCTGATTTAAAATTTTACATCTATTTTTAAGATGCCCTATCATAATTGTAACGTACTCATCTGTCAGTGCTGGCTCTGTATGGACTGACTCTGAATGGACTCACTGTACAAGACAGCAAAGTCTGACTGGGTTCACAGGGTCTGTGTGTCACTTAAAAGTTAAAAAACAGCTTCTTTTCACCTGAGTGCCCTCTGGGAGAAGTGTTCAAGATAGGGCAGTCCCCCAGCTGGGACACACAATGCACAGGTATTGTAGATGTCTCCAGGACACACTCTTGGTGACCTCCCTTGGGACTCCAGGGAGCCATCCTTCCTTAGGAAGGCAAAAGGCAGTCTTCAATAGGTGACATTTTTCCATAAAATGGCACTGTAGAGGGTTGACTCCGCTGGGTACTGAACAGGCACCGATTTATTATGGGGATGGGGTGGGAGGGAAAAGGAGGCAGATCAAGGCCTGGATTTCTCAGGGGAATTGATCTACCATCTGCAAGCCAAGTCCATACGTGCACCTGCAGATTTTGCTGGAACTGTTTGCCCTTTTAAATTGTGATTGAGTTTATGTGGGGTTTTTGACTCAGGGCAGACAGTAACTAGACAGATGTAGTGCATCCCATATGGAGATCCTTGTTGTCTCTCGTATTCTAAGTTCTCATGTGGGCAGAGAACATAGGAAAAGGCTAAAAGTGTACAGGCTCTGCAGTGGCTTTCAGTGCTCAGTCATCCAAAAGCTATGGGATGGTAGTCAGGGATTCAGGAGATATGCCATTGGGCTTGATAAGCTAACGTATCTGCGTTAAACATGGCAGTTTGGGTCCCACCTGCACCCGTGTTATTCCTTCATGTTACAGGTGTGTGTCAAGAGCAAAAGTTGCCACCCTGCATGACTTACCAAAAGCTGTGTGTATAAATGCTGCCTGTTTTAAAACAGGGCAGAGACTGGGAGCAGAAAATAGATGTACCTACAACTTCCTGCACCATTGCCTAGGGCATAACACCAGTTCCCAGGACACCCAGTCAGAAGCACGGCAAAAGATGGAGCATGGCAGTTTACACTGAGAGAAAATCTTTGTATGAAAAAGCTTACAATATCAGCAAAATAGGCAGAGGGAGGGAAATGCAGCCATACAGATCCAAGAGGAACTCCTTTGCTACAGGAAAAAGAAGTCATTTAAGTATATGACATTGTCAATTCCATGTCAATATTATCCTTGTCAGTGTATGCTTACCAGTGTCCTTCTTCTTTGTTCGTGAAAGCTCGTGGACTGTTGCTCCGATATCATTTCTCAAGGACTTGATGATCTTGTCCAGCGCTGGGACATTCTTGCCTTCCAAGTTAATGAAGAATTCGTACTCATCTTTGTTGAGACGGGAAGGTCGAGACTCAATGTGGGTCAGGTTTATACCTTTTTCCTATGAGAAAGAGAGATTTTAGTCACACAGGGTTTGGGGGAACAAATATGACAAAGACTAGCTAAAATTCACGTGTTAGTCAACAACCCATACTATACAATCCAAATAACTCAGAAGTAGAGACTTGCCTCTGGTGGCCACTGGACTGAGGACTTTCACAACAAGGAGAGAGACAAAAAGGAAGAATGAGAAGGATGTGGGGTTCACCCTTGTGCAGAGCACCAACATAAAGACTATGCACTACATAAATCTTTGAAAAAGGTAGAAGCAGGATGCAAGTTGTAAACAGGCTTTGTATTGTAAATAGCGACTCCAGTACCGCAAGTACATAATGGGAGCTTGTCTGGGTGGACAAGAACATTTCCCCAGGATCAGCACGGGAAGTAGGCATTCTACCTGTAGAGAACCCTCTCATGAGAAAGTGAATGCTGTATTTATGAGCATCTTGAAAGGAGGTTGGAAAAGCAAGCAGTTGAGCACCCTGTGAGATAAGCTTCTGCCAAGCCACTGCACAGTCACCTGCAAAGCCACCTGCACAGTTTCCAGGGCTGTGAGCAGGTGTTGGGCAGAGATCCAATGGGAAACATGTATCTGCACCAAAAAGGTAGCCCAGGTTTGTGCAAATAAAAACATGGGTGTTTTAAATCACGGAATCACAAAATCACAGAACTGCGGAGTCACTGAGGTTGGATGGGGCCTCTGGATATCATCTAGTCCAACTCAGTCCTGCTCAAGCAGGGTCCGCTAGAGCAGATTGCTCAGGACTGTGTCCAGTCGCATTTTGAGTATGTCCACAGATGCAGACTCCACAACCTCTCCGGGCAACCTGCTGCAGAGTCTGATCACTCTCACCGCAAATAAGTCTTTTCTTTAGCACAGAAATTAAAATTCTATCTCATCAAATATCTTCACTGACCAGCAGCAGTGCCTCCTAGCTTTGAAGAAAGGGATCATTTGCAACTATAGTCTTGATGACTATGGCCAGTGGGTACCTGACCTCAAGCATGCCATCATGTCAACGTGTAAAGCAACAAGTAGCTAAAAATCCTATTTTTCCAGTCACTTAAGCACAAGTCCAGGAAAATCTACCTCAGTTCAGCTGAACTCAAATGTTTTCCTGAGCACTGTAATTTGAATATGAAAGTATTACTTACTTTTTTTTTTTTTTTAGAAAAACCTTTTAAACAGATTTCAATTGGTGCTGACTTTACCACCTGACCTTCCCGTCAGGCTCGCACTGGAGCTGCAGCCACGGCACACCAAGGCCAGGTCTGGGCTTCTGTCCCCTGTGAGAAATAGACCAACCCCTGGAGGAAATTTGAGCCTGAAGAACAACCACAGAAGAGTCAGAGGAGCTGACACACGGCGCTCAGCAGCCCTGGAGAAGCTGCTGGTTTGCTGCTTTAAGGCATAAGAAGACCCCAAACTACATGGGGTGAAATGATGGCCCCGCTGGTGTCAGTGTCAAACCCTCTGCTGCAGTAGGGTCAGGATTTCATCCATGAAGAAACGCTGTGAGGATCTACTTGTGATCTACAGGGATGAAAAAGGGAAGCTTTTTTCCTGTACCTCCCTCTAGTTTGAGCTTCTCAAGCCCTTTAAGGTTTTCTTTGCTCCTCTCAGTGCTTGCACAGCACAAGGGGACATCTGGCCATCAGTGGCAAAGGCCTCATTCACTCCACCACAAAAGGCAGTTTATTACTTTGTAGGAAAAAACATGCATGTCATTCCTCTGTTTCCCGAGTGTCACACGCTACAGATGAACTTAAATTGTTTGGCTAGATACCAATACAATAAGTTGAAAAGGTCAAAAGCGCATTTGCCAACTGCTGCTCTTGAGAGATGCTGTCCTCGCGGGGCCGTCTGGGGGAGAGAATGGCCGCCACTGTCCTGGGCCCTGAGGACAATTTGTTTTAGGCCTCCAAAGCCCCGTTTCACAAACAGACCGCACATTGTACCCTGTACTTGGTGAGGTGCTGGGAGGTGGGGCAGCCCAGAGCTGGAAGTTCAGATGACTCGGGGCTCAAAGCTTTTGACAGAGAGCAGGCGCAGGGGGCTGCCAGCCTTTTTGCCGCGGCTGCACCATGGAGAGCGGTGTGGCAATGTGGGGCTGGCATTCGGAGCCCTGGGCCGTTTGGCTGTTCTGCATAGGTGGAGAGCAGGTGTAAATCCTCCCCCTGTCAAAGGCTCTGCTCAGGCACACTGTGGTGCTGCTTTACTTTCACCTTGCACTGATGTGTCGGGGTGTTATATTCTGTCTCTGTGTAGATTCACGGGGAATGGGGTCCTGGGCCCTGACTGGGCTTTCTACATCTTGCAGAGGCTGTGATAACATGGACCTCTCTTCGGTGGCTGTTATCCCCCACTTCCCTCCCCCACCCAAAAATGTTCATCCCTGCCTCAGCATCCCTCCCCTGGAGATAGCAGAGGTGTTCGAGAGATCACATGGCTACCTCAACTATATCCTTTTTTTTTTGGCCAGGTGACTTTTCTGTTGTACCAGCTCTCCAACCTGGCTCAGTGAGCAGCTGCACAAACAGTGGTGCCCACAAAATGGCGGGAATGATGCAGGGGTTGGGAATGAAGAGACAAGCTGCAGGGTGGGCACAAGGCATGCTTAAGTCAGCAGGAGCATCAATGCCTCCCAAAGTATCGCCAAAACCTAAAAGAGTGGGAAAAAGGAAAAAAAAAAAAAGAAGACAGAGAGGAAGGAGCTCATGGAAAGAGTCACCTCCTTTCTTACACCTGAGATAAGCAGAACAGCTTCCCGCAGAATGTGAAGCTGGTTTGCTGTTTATTTGAGGGGTGCCTGCAGCTCAGCAATGTGCAGAGCCAACCCATTACCTCTTTGTGCGGAGGCTTCAGGACCTCACAGCAGAGAAGCTGAAGGGAAAACTCTTCTGGTGACTGTTTTCAAAGCAAGAATTCAGCAGCATAAGTCTAACTCCCTGAACTGGTGCTCCTGGAGAAACATGCTCTCATATGCTGTGCCTTGCTACTAAGCCCCTGATTTCAAAATATTTACAGTGGCTCTGTTACTAGAGTTGCTTTACAAATCTCAATTTCATTCTAGTCCAACTACTCCATCTAGTGTTTAATCTTCATAGTTTCACACTGTTCAAAACTTTTTTGTATCCTCAGTATTGCCAAATCTTGCAATTGCATCAGGTTTCTCACAGTAGTTGATGCTTCATTTAAACCTCCAACTTCTGGAGACAAATGGTTACCTGAGAAAGGAGAATAGGGGCATTTTTTGGTTTAGTTGTTTATTTTGAGCAGTTTTCAATCTCTCTGTGTTTGTTAATAGAGCTTGAAATGTTGACAATGTATGCCCTCAAAAGGCAGCTAATAAAAATTCTGTATTTATTTTATGGGACTTCATGATTTCTCAGCTATTTTTTGTTGATGGAACCTAACTCCTAACCTAACTGTTTTTGGAAGATCTGGGCTGTCACACATTTGAGGCTGTATTCACACCTGAACTATTAACACTGGTCTCTTCTGCCTTTCCTATTTTAGAGTTGGTAGGAATCAGATGAGCCCATGACTTGAGATTAAATGTGCCTCTGCTGAATTCACCCCATCATCCATCGCAACTGCAAAGAACTTGCAGCAGGTTGGTGTTTCCCTACTTCTCCTCAGGTTTATGACCAGCATAGAGGTTGAGTCTCTCCTACATGGACACATCCTATCATACAACCACGTACCTGCTGGAGTGCTTCTCTGTTGGTAGAGGAGGGGCAGCTGTTCACCTTGCATTATTTCAAAACAATGTACTAGGCCATTTCTAACATACTTTTTAGCGACTATTAACAATTCAGAACAGATTTTGCCTTGAGGACTGAGGGTAGCATTAGGTGTAGCACCTAATGGAGATCACAGGGGTACAGTATTGCCAGATCCCTTGAAGTTAGCAGAAGTCACTCCAAATTTCTTGCTTTTTTTCTTAATACCTCCACTCCTGGTGGTGAAAGATCTCAGCTTTCATTATTTGAATATCCAAGTTAACTGTATCTCTATCACTCCCCATTAGAGAAAGAAGTCTCAAGACATGTTCTCAGAGCTCAAAAATCAAGTTAGAACTAAGTCCATTTTGTGTAAGTCATGATTTCTGAATGACAGGGGTTAGTGATACAGATATCAATTTACAACAGAGGCAACGGTGGATGCAGGGGGAGATTACCCGTCTCCCTGCCTGCCTTACCCAGCAGTGCTGGACCTCAGCCTTGGCTCCCTCTCAGAGACCATGAAGCAGCTCCAGCCCCTTCCCCAGTTTATTCCAGCTATCCCATCCCGACCGAGTGTCTCCCACCCTGCAGCTGCCCCACACTGGCGGGGTCAAACTGGCCTGGTGTTACACTACGTCAGCAGTCTTGCAGAGGTCACTGCCAAGAGAATTTGATCTCACGCTCAGAGAGTTTAATGGCCTGATCATTGGAAAAGAAAAGTTGTGTTTTCACAGCTACATGGGGAAGCTTTCAGTGGGGATGGATCCTTTCTGGGAATGTTATGGACTACTGCTTCTCATGGCATTCATATGTCCTTCTGTTTACGCATTACTAAGTGCTCCTGTATATGGTTGCTAAAACTAAGTACAGCTGTGAAATCCATCTGCAGCTCGTTTTCATGACTGTTGTCATTAAGCAAGTTTGGCTTCATCAGGAGACCCCACATTGTTACCAGATGAAGAACCATCAACAGCTCTACGGTGCCGCTAATCAACATTCAGTGAGAACTTGGGTGAACTCTCCCAAAACAAGGATTTACTTGCAGTTTCCTGATACCAAAAAAAGTGACATGTCCTTTTAACCCTTGCCATGGGCTAGTTCTGGGTTTCCTGAAGGAGGACACTTTCAGAAGCACAAGTAGAAACTCAGTGCCTAATTTTCACAGACTGGGGGAGTTGGAAGTTACAGCGATGCCTTCAGCCATGGTTTCCCAAAGTGAAGGCAAAGGCAGCCGTCTGGTTTAGCCGCCTTCTCAGCTGAAGACAGTGCTTC